TAAAATCTATTCTAATAGACCTCAACAATGGAATTGATGATCGAGATAGGAAAGGCCGATGACATGGGACCTTTAAGAAAGTGCAAGAAAACGCTATATATCGCAATACTAAAAGCACATGGGTAAGTTGTTTCAACCTCGCATTTGTTACTTAGATTGCATCTTACCTCTACCATTACGTCATTTTATATTCATTTCAGACATACAAATGCTGCAGCTTTGAACTGAAACAATCACTGAACCAAGGTGTTATGTGGTCTAAGAAGAGGAGGGGCGTTCACCAGCACCTGGAAATCCTGCTACCTCTACAAACGTGATTAACAAGCGCTTTTCTGTTTTGTGTTTAACGTTAATCAGCCCACCAAAACGACTGTTCTGATGAATCACGCTAAGAATGGACTCCAGCGGTTGCTATCCAAGCAGGACATGCACAGTTGAATCTCAGCAAGCAAACACAGAAAAGCAAACAGAGTGAACCCCTCGTACAGTTCAGACCAAAGAACACCAAAGATCATATTCGCAGCAAAAGAGGAAAAAATGAATGTTTTCCGATAAACTCGAGAAGACACAAGAGCAGCGCGTACCTGCTCTGAAACCAAACAAGCACGTCATGTTTCTAGCAGATGCATGTCATACTAGACATTCATGAGCGCCACATCTGCCAGCTTTAATCTTCAGAGTCATGTCTCTGCATGACCTTGCTTGGTCACGGCTCCAACCTCAACATTGCCACTTTATCAGAGAGCTGACGGATTACAGTAACCACAAGGGGATCAGCTCTGTAGACAGGCAGGAAAATGTGGCATTTAGGGACTAACCCTTTCCCTCAATCAGTACAACCCTTCTACGTTAAAGGCGCTTCGTGCACGTTGGATTGAAACACGTGAACGTTATATTGTTAGGACGAGAACGACCAATAGTGGGTCGCATTCTACGTCGCATATGTCCGCGACTCGCCCAGAAACTGGCCGATGATCAAATCGAAAATTCGGCACAGCCCTGGCGAATACAATAATCGATTATTCGACACGGATCAAAAAACAAAAAACATAAATAATAATAAAAAAATTATAAATAAATCGATTTTTAAAAATAATTTTTGATTATGGAGACTGTAACGAAAATTCGAATAATCGCTGGCATCCCTAGTGCATATACAGAATTTATTGGAGCAGACAAGTCCTCAGGTCTTATGAGCATTACTCATCATGCGTATGTGCTGCTGCTGCTGTTCA